ATGGAATCTAACTGTAAATACAGATAAAACTAAAATAATGGCTTTTAGAAATGGAGGAAAAATAAAAGAAAATGAGAAGTGGTTCTACGACAAAAATGAATTAGAAATAGTAAATGAGCTTAATTATCTTGGATTATTATTAAATTATAACGGTAAATTTACAAAAGCACAACAGAAGCTGGCAGAACAGGGGAGAAAAGCTCTTTTTAGTGTTCAAAGTAAACTAAATGATTATTACTTTAATATTCAAACAAAATGCTCCGTTTTCGTCAATAGTATACTTTCGTATGCTTCCGAAGTATAGGGTTTTAACAAAGGAATTGATATATAAAAAGTTCATGTACTGTTCTGTAAAAAAAACTTTAGGGTTTAAAAAGAATGCTAGTAATAAGTTTCTTTATCTTGAACTAGGTAGATTTCCCTGTCATATTTTAAGAAAAATAAAAACTATGAAATATTGGTTAAAGCTGAGAAAAACAGAAAATTGTATTCTTAAGACGTGTTATGAAGAAATGGTACAGGAAAATGATGAATGGATTGTAAACATTAAAACAGAACTGGATAAATTAGGATTAAACTTCATGATGCACACATATTATGATGAAAAATTTGCATTCAAACTTATTAAACAAAGAATGATAGATATTTACATCCAAGAATTAAGAGCAGAAATTAACATTATGCCCAAAACTAATTTATACAAATATCTTACAGATACGCATTGCCTTCAATATTACCTTTACAAGCCTTTAAGTGTTAAAAATCGAGAAATAATTTCAAAACTTAGGATGTCTGATCACAATTTATATATTGAAAGGGGTAGATACACGGATACTAATAGAAATGATAGAAAATGCATATTATGTAATCTGGATGAAATAGAAGATGAATTTCATTTTATTTTACAGTGCCCAACATATGAAAATATAAGGAAGAAATATATTAAAAGATTTTATTATCAAAATAGTAGTGTATATAAAGTAATACAACTATTAAGCGCTCGAAATGTAAAGGAATTAAGGGGTCTTGAAAATTTTTTAAAGAGAAGCAAATCATATACGGGAAAGTAAATTAGAACTATTACATTAATTTTTTAAGAGTGGTTTACTATGTCAGAACAATATATATATATATGTATACATTTAATCTCAACGTCATTTTAAATTGTGTGAATATATTGTAATATATATATTATATATTCTCTTCTTTAGCCATGTCAATTATGTATATACTATATGTATTTACATGTATGTAATTATGTTTATCTGATGTATCTGTTGATACAAGGAATACAAGAACTGAAATGAACTGAAGCATCCTATGTCGAACGTTCACACCGCCGTGAACCCTATGCAGGTAGACGGACTGTACCGTGATTAAATTTAGTATAAAACCAAAAGCATGACAATGAGAATGAATGAAATATTTCAGTCAAAACACGACCAAATGATTGGATACATTTGCTCACAAGTTAGTTCATTAAACGACCATACAGTTTACGAAATGCAGATTTTAAACAAGGTTATTGAAATCCCTGTAACATCAACCTATCTGTCAGGAGCTTGCCTCGGTATTTAAATTGATTCTACTCAGAGCATGCTCTTCGGTAACGAACAGGTTGGGTGACATAAACACCATATGCAGGTGATACCGGAATGTTATAACATAAATAAGGTAAGTTGACAATGGAAAAGCTGCAATCATCTTGTTTGTCAGACAGTTTAGTTGTTAGTTGGCCCTCATCGTCTATAGTCAGTAACCATCCAAATATGAAACAAATGTCATGTGGCAGACTCTGTGGTGTCTTTTATTTCAAGTTCACTGGGGTATATGGAGTCGACATATTATTGGAAGTAACAATTGTAAATTGATAAACGTCTTCGATATACCTAAATGTCTTGCTGAAAGGCACTGCAAAGTGTTTTCTTCTTCTAATATAGAAGTTTTTCAATAAATTCTGCTTTATAGGAATATAAAAACAGGACGTTTCCTTCATAGCAGGCTTGGGGCGAATTACTTTGCAAAGTAATGCATTACATTACCATTACTTCAAGAATTTGGGCATTAAATTACCATTACCATTACTCTAATTTCTTAAAGTAATGCATTACATTACCATTACTTTAGTAAAGTAATGCATTACCATTACCATTACTTTGGGGGGGGGGGGGGGTAAAGATAGAAATACAAAACTTTGCAACTATATAATTTTCATAAGCATGCAACCAACCCCTTCAAAGCTAAACATGACAAAGGATAATTCAAATTTGATTTCAAGATACTTGTATTTATTAGACTGTAAAAAGCTTACATATCTTTTTATTATTCATGGGAAGTTCAAACTTTCAAATTGTCAGTAAGATAAAACATTTATTTGTACAATATGCACTTCTTTTGTAACTATTGATGTCATAAAGCAATTTAACTTTTGATGCGTTTTAATCCCTGTCCAAAACTATGATAAAAGCATAGATAATTTAAATCTAGTACCTTATGAAAAAAATAAATGCATTGACAAACTTGTAAAAGGGTTGGACAGTATGTACATTTTGCTCTGCTAGGCGTATAAGAATGCTTGCATGTCTTCTATTCCTTTTGGTACAATGGAGTTGTCATGGTCAACTCAAGATAGACCAGCTCAATTAATGTTTTATAAACAGTCAGGAGAAAGGGACTGGTAATTTGGAGCACTTCTCAAAACAATGCATTGTTTTAATTGTTACATAAGCCCAGAGGCATAGTGCGTTTTGATGACATTCTAGCTATTCAAAAGGTGTCAATTACCAGTTTACAGTGTACATCATACTGGAATTATTTTTTTAAAAAGATTTTTTTTAAAAACTTTTTAAATAATTCTTTAAAATCAAATTTTATCTAAAATAAGTGTGAGAATTTACATGTAAGATAATTGTACTTTTAACAGAATATAAAGTGTATTTAAATAGATACAGAGAGTTTATTTAAATAGGATAACTTTTTTCATTCATTTCTATCATTTATAAAAAATAAATAACCTAAACAATAATTTCCATATCCATTTTGATTTTTTAAAAAAGGTACATACAAAATAATGCTTTGCAATGCTATGTAATGCCAGTATTACTCTGGATTTGATAAAGTAATGCATTACGTTACTATTACATGTAATTCAATTTTTTTGGCATTACACATTACTAGCATTACTTCGAGTTCAAGTAATGCATTGCAATGCATTACCATTACAATTAGCATTACCCCAAGCCTGCAGTTCATAGCAATATAAAGACAGGTCGGCATAGATGCTGTCAATGAGAAACTCCATCATCCTTTTAATAACAACTACAAAGTACTTGGGTGTAGAATCAGAGTGATATTAACTGAGTAATTTTGTTGATTACCCATCACATATGATCTGAAAATTTCCGAGTTCCATTTTTATTGAAGAAGCAGTTGTCTATGATATCAAAAAGCGTAGTTTTTAATTTATCCCGAGGAATGGTTGCATAAAATGTAGAAAAGTCTTATGTTTTGGTGATGTTTACTTAAAAAAAAAATGATTTTAAATTTCTTAGAGTTCTTTGGAGTTTTTGAGAATTCACATTTGATTAACTCCACTTCTAGAATATGTTGAGCTCAGTTTCTTCTTTACAGCAGTTAATTAATATTTTGTGAGGAGTAAAGATAGGGGCTTGCATGGTTGAACACTGACTGGATTCTACAATGTAACTTTTTTTTGGAATGACTTTTATGAAGTTTAGGGATCCAGTACAGCTAAAATAGATTGAACTCACCTTCAACGACTTGAATGTTAAAAGTATTGAAGACTGAAATTTTATTTTGAAGAATTTTATCTTTAGAAAAGTGAACTACTAGTGTAATTAGGAATTTCAGATGTAGAATGAAAACTAATTTCTTCTAAAATAAGGTTTTAATAATGAGCCTCACAAGCACAGAAGATATTGTTTCAAGCCTTATCTGTTGGAACCATAGCATTTTGTTCATACATGTATAATCTTTTTAATTCTTTTGTCGTCTCCGATTTAGTGTAAACAGAAGGATAGATGACCTTTTGACCTTTATATAACTTTTTGATTTTTTAATTCTGACAAAGTATTCAGATCTCCCTCTTCATATTTCTCCCAACGTCTGGTATAATCTTCGACAGAATTGATAACAGAAATAAAACATATTCAATATTTAAAAAGAATGCATATGGACATTTTTTTTCACACGGTTTGAACAGTTCTGGGCATGGCCTAAAGATGTACTGTAAATACAGGTCACAAAGAAAACATATTTATAGATTTTTGTTTTACTAAATACAATTTTCGTTTTAGAGGCTTTCGTCGATTCTTAATTGTCACAATCACAAACAGCTGTAATTCTTATCAAATAGTAGAAGTAAAAGGAGTGATTATGTTTAATTTTCTATAGTTTCACACAAGGAAACAACAGCATAAGGGGCATTTTGAACAACTTTGTATAAGCAATGCAAACCATTGACTACTTTCACAGAAAAAAGAAATTCAATACCTGAATTCATACCGCGCGTTTTTATGTGAATGTCACGTAGAGTCTGTATAATTTTCAGTTTTTTGTTTATATGCTCTCTTTTAAATTGTACATTTTCATTGAATTCCTTTCGTTTCTGAAGAACTTAACAGGGATTTTATAACACTTTTTTTTTCATTTAATGTATTTATAAACGTATTAGAAGATTAGGAGACCATGTTTTAAGTAAAAGAAGCGCTTTAATCCGTTCAGTGTGTGAGAGAAAAACAATCATAAAGTGTTTTTTTTTACATTATGTGCAGTTTTTGATCTTACAAACCTACCTCGATTATAAATGTTTGTAAATCAGACAAAACAATGAAACAGATTTCTACAAAAAGTCATATTAATTATAGCTGTAATTATCCCAGTATTACAATCATCTCCAAAACATTTTCTATAATTAAAGACATTTAAGAACATGAATATATATACATGACATTATCTATCTGTTTCTCTCTTATTTTCAGCATGGATTGGATCAGTTTGTACAGGTTCTACATTCTTTATGTGCCTTTTTAGCAGTGTATGCAGTGATCGAATTGGTATCAGACCAACGGCATTTTTTGGCGCTCTTTTTGGCGCAATAGGACTCTTTTCTAGCGCTTTTATCAAAGAATTGGGATTACTATATTTAACATACGGCCTTTTAATCGGAAGCGGCGGAGGATTTATAACCGTTACATCCTTGATCATTCTGGGACATTACTTTAAAAAGCATTTGGGACTCGCAAATGGAATTGTAGGTTTTGGTAGTTCAGGTTGCTCAATGATTATATCCATTGTTCTGCCTATTTCTCTGGAGACTTTGGGCATCAAGTACACCTTCCTTATCTTGGGCGGGTTGTACTGCATGCTTTTATTATATAGTCTTACCTGGATACCTACGTTTCCAGTACATTCATCACTGCCAATATCATCGCATGAAGAAGAGTCGCAAATTGAAAAGGGGCTTTGCTCTTCAGTAAAAAAGTACCTAAATTTGGAGATTTTCAAAAACCGTGCATATCGTATTTGGTTTTTCGGATTTAATGTTGCGTTATTTGGTTACTTTGTGCCATTATTCCATTTAGTAAGTATACAATGTGAGTATAACATAAACATTTTGGGGAAAAATAAAAGAGCCTGGTCGATACTGTCATCAAGACGGTCAGATTAAAAGATTTATGTTCTGTTTAATTAATAACTAAGTCTTCTCATTTTTATACAACAGTGTATCAAATGTGTATACTGAAGAAATACTGTTATCTCTCAATGAAAAAGAAAGTCATATGCCACGAGCCAGATTAATGAGTTAATCACAGTATTCAATCACTGATTAATGATAATTGTTTAGTAATGAAATTTTTGAGTAGGAAATTGTACTTGTATTTGACAATATGATATAAACAACATATTTACAATTAGTTAAAAATTATCATGTATAATTAAAAATCACTTATCTTGATACAAACAATGCAAATCGAGAAACACGTGTATTATATTTACATTTGATAAGTAGTGATGCTGTATAAAAACGCTAAAACAGCTAGTATTAAATGTTTCAAAAGGTCTCGATTCAACAGCATCTTTTTACGTTTGCAAACGATGTTTTTTATATCTCAACAGCTATAAATTTATGATTAATAACGACGCATATTTCAAATATAAGTATGAAAAATTTTAACTTTTACGTATTTTGGTGTTGATGCTGTCTTTTATATTTAGGTTAAACATACTCAGGATAATTTCCCTGACAAAAATGCATTTATTCTGATAACCTGTATTCAAGTGGCCTCTGGAATTGGAAGACTGATATTTGGGAAGATAGCGGACTTGAAATGCGTGAACCGAATCTATATGCAGCAAAGCGCTTTTGTGTTGATGGGAATAGTTACTGCATGCATTCCTTTCTCAGGATCTTTCGAAGGACTAATTGTTATTTGTCTCATTTTGGGAGTCTGTGATGGGATCACGGTATTTTTGATTGGAACTATTGCGTTTGATATTGTTGGTCCCAAAGATGCATCACAAGGTATTGGTTTTCTCCTTTGTGGTTTTTCTGTCCCACTTACTGTTGGGCCTCCTATTGCAGGTAAGAAATTTAACCTGCTTCCGGTTGATTCGAAAACTGGATATATTATCAGCATAACTATTTGAAAGATATCTTCAATGCAAATTTCCTTGAATATTCATTTTTTTTAATTTTAGTTCAAATTTGCATAAAATGAGCTCATAGGTTTATTGCATAAAATTGTATTACATTACAATGTAAATGTTATTATAAAAATGTTTCGAAAATTATTTCCATATAATAATTTTATGGAGTTTTAAAACGAGTTCTTTGCAATTTAAACATTTTTCTGTGAGTTTGTTTCAGAAATAAAGTTACATTTTTTTTGATGATCAGAATCCCTTAGACATTCAAAGTTTTGGTAAAAACATACCAGTATTTAATATGTTCCTTTGAATTAATATGAATAAAATGAAGGATATATTTATATAATAATAATAATCATTGTGAAGAAATTCCTAAACACCTCTAATTGTCTTATCTATGCAAGAATCTAGTCCTTTAAACATTCACAGTGGATGAAATGGTCATTTGTATTTCTAAGATATGATACTTTATGTAGTTGTAGAGAAACTGTAGAAGTTTGAAAAAAAAAACGGGGGTGATGAGATAAAGGTAATATTGAAAATGAATAATGAATGAATATTCATTTCAGGTTTGCTTTATGACACTTTACATACATACGAAATAGCTTTTGTAGCTGCTGGTGCTCCACCCATCCTGGGTGCATTAATAATGTGCTTCATTCCAAGACTTAAACAGGTAGATTATTGTGCCTTTTTTCTGACTCCTCATGAATTCAAAATACTTTTTTGAAAATGTGTGTAAGGGAGTCAATGTAATAACCTTACAATACATTATTTAATCCTCAGAAAAGAAATGAAGAAATGGAAACAAATGGTGCCACCATTGTTATGACACAGGTTTATCGAACAGGTAGATAAGATAACATATCTATATACTTCATATAATTATTTTAAAATTCATATGAATTATAATTTTAAGACCATGCCTCTAATATATGCAATTTTGAATGTGTTGCATACGATTGTATTGGAGACACATATCTTTAGTATTCATTTTTATTACCATTTTACAAAGTACGTTAATGGTAAATTTCAGAAATATAGATATATTTGATTTTCTATCATTTTAATTTATTCATATCGATCATAGTTTTAGGAATCTTATATCAATTAAAAAAAAATTTTTAAAAAAATAATAATAAATTGAAATTTTTAGATTCAACTGGTGAAGAGGAGAAAAGTCTTTTAGACTTGCAGAAAAATGACAAAGACGTAAAAGAGAAAAGCCCAGCAAGTCCTTACAGGATTAAAGATGATGCATCAGCAACAGAATTTAAATCACTTTTAGAGCAGGAAATTTTAACCTGATAATAAGTTTGATATTTTTTGAAATTAATAATATAAATAATTAATAAAACTTATTAATAGCTTTGTTGTAAAAGTGTTAATAGTCATGTTGTATTGAATTTAATACTTGACAAAATAACAAGGAAAATGAAAAGTAATAAAGAAGAAATGAGTTTATCATTTATAAAGATTTTCTATCGCAATATATTTTTTTTAAATATGTATGCTTTTTAAGCAAAATATTTAATACTATGACTCCTTTTTTTTTAATGAGCTTCTTTCCTGCATGAACGGTTTTTGTAGAACATGTTGACGATGACGCATTCTTCTTTCAAATTTAAGATTTTTTATCTTCATGCAGTTCCTGTCAGTCTTTTCAAAATAAAAAAAAATACAAGTTTTTAAACCTGAGAGAAATTGAAAAAAAAACCCTGCTTTTTAACAATAAAGACAGAAATGATTTAAGGTATTCAATTTATCCTACAACTTTGAAATCTAAAAAAAGAAATAAAAAGGGTCTGAAGGAAAAGTGGTCTATTTGTCTCCATAAACATAAAGTTTTTTCCAAGCTGAATTATGAAGATGAAGGACAGCAACGATCGAAGCTCAAAAGTCTAAAGAAACAATACAAATTATGAGCAGAGCAAACACGGACCTCTTAAAAATTCAGATGGGGAATCACGTACGATGAAGAAGTAAGCATCCGCTGTCGACCGGACACACCCGCCGTGTGCTTCTTGTCATGATTGGGTAAGCGGGAAATTGGAAATTCGTAGACAATTCTGAGTGAAAACTATGGCCTGATACTTTGTATGAAAAATGTCAGTCGACATTCGACTTAACAAAAGATTGTATTTGCTGAAAGGTCATGTAGCGACCATAGAATTTGATGAGTGTTGATTTTAAACAGATTGCTACTTTCTTTGAACCAATAACTTATTTGTCAATAGCTTGCATCTTTTACAAATTGTCCATACGTATAATGTGTTCAAACGTAAATGATCAACTGGGACACATTCATATGCAGGTGATAATGCTATCTTGCTATATAAATATGGGGAGTTTACGATATAAAAGTAGGTAATCATGTTAATATAAAGTTAAGTTATTAGTTTGCTATTGATGTTTTTCTCTAGAAAAATATCCAAATTTGAAACAGGTGTGTCAGACTCTGTTCGTCTTTTGTTCAGTTCAAAGGGATATATCGAATCAACAAAGGAATGAAAATCAATAATATTCGTCGATAAAACGTCGTCGATATATCTTATTGTTAATCATCTGTTAAACTGTTGAAATATGATTATAATATTTTTATTCTACATATTATATTATGGGTGTTAATGTTTGGAGAGACAATAACTATAATATAAAAAATGTTGTTAAATTCCTGGTTATTTGATAAAATGCTTATTGACTTTTGAATTCGGTCTACTCGTGTCTATACGGAACATGATCTGGAGTAGGTTAACATACACATATCCTTTCTTCTTTCTTTTTCATGGACTTCTTCCGAGGAAAACAAAATTTTTCAAAAGGCGAAGGCAGAAACTTTACTTTATTGACAATCACTTGCAAGACTATCAGGCGACAACCTGGGGTAGTTGCTCGATTATTTATCATCTCTCCACTATGAGAACAGTTCGCAGTCTTGCATTCGAAGATTAATCGTTGATCGATTGAATTGTAACGTTAACTAAGTTGACATTAAAAATTAATGAATGATTTTTGTCGATCGGTTGTCTTTTTCGGAAGATCAAACACTGGTTTTAATATGACCGAGGCATAATACTTGCATGTATGCTATATTAAATTTTTTCTATCAAGATAAAAGCTTAATATTGGAGGAATATCAATGGTGTTTAATTTCTTTAACAAATCCTTATTGAATCAAAATATATTTTTCTCCAACTGATACGTAGCCCGAACCCTCTCAAGCTTTCTAGCACGTTGTGCACGTCTAGAATAATTTTCCTCTTTGTGGGGAAGACATGTAACTTTATCCAATCTTGGAAAACGACAGAATTGAAAGTACAAATATTTCAATGTAAATGCTATTGCTGCATTAAACTTGGAAATTGTTAAAATTTTCACCATAACTACTAGGAGAGGTTATCTAATACCTGCTGTTAAAACATAAAAAGGAGTACACTCATCAGAAGAGAAAAATCAAAGTAAAAATCCGTTGTATATATGAAATTAAAAAAAAATTCTGAGAAACGTCTCTTTAAATTATGCAATGTATCTCTCCATTTTCCGTAATCTATTGCTCTTTGTATTCCCACTCAGGTACGAATTTTGACATGTTGCAAAAGCATCAAGTTTTAGCAATCCTAAACCTGGGTAACAATAAATACACTGCAAAGGTCCTTCTGTAAAAAGAAACAACCTAGAAATAAATTAATAATGAATTAGACAAAACAGGTTATATCTAACACGGAATTTACTGCAGTGCCTTTTCTCGATATATTTGCTATCTCTGTGTTTGGCGGGAAATGAACATCTAGACTCTGAAGTCTGGTAAATTCTTTTTATAACTTTAAATATTTATAAAAATTAAACATCAAATGTCATGTCAGATGAACAAAAATAATACATTTCTTACTAAATCGGCAAAACATGTAGTAAATAAATTCGAGAAAGATAATAATACTACCTTTTCTTAGATATGACCATGAATACCTATTTGTAGTATCTATTCAATACAGAGATGGAATATGTAGATAACGAACAGTATTCAATCTCGAAAGTCCAATGAAACGATACAAATTTGAAGTAGAGCAAACAAGGACCTCAAAATTTAGAGGTGGGACCAGGTGCAATGGAGGAGTGAGCATTCCCTGCCGACCGGTCACACCCGCCGTGTGCTCCTTGTCATGATCGGGAAAAAAGGTAAAATCCGTAGACAGTTCAGTGTACATGATTGTGCATAAATAATGGCCTAACAATTAGTTAGAACATATTCAGAAGAAAATTTTCTAAAAGCGCTAAAGAAAATAAACAACACATCAAGACAGAATTCAGAGTTGTGTTTAAATAATGCCTACTCCTGGTTAAGATGCCTACTCCTCCTAAGCATTTGGAGGCTTCTGGAATTTCCAATGGTCCGTGTTTTATGACCAGTTCACAAATTTGTCTTAAGTTTATTTATATGACCCTTGAGATCGATAAATATAATTTTAAAATATTTATTATTTTAAAAATTATTTGTTTTCCCATTTGTATGATTTAATCTGTTGTCTGTGTAAAATGAATGAATTTTGCTTCTCGAATTTTACGACTTTATAAGCGGAAAAGACATGTATCGTAATGATGAATAAGTTATAATAGTTGCAACGGGAAAATAAAGCTTAGAAAAAAAAAATAAAATGAACAACAAAAGAATAAAGACAGCGTCCCCTAGATCCGTTATTAAAAATATTTCATAAATGTTAATTGCAAAATGTAAACATTATATTGGTTCGTACTTGCTTTTTCGAATGTAAATATCTATGAAATATTTATTTACCAACAGGGATAAAAATTCCTTTGGAATTTGATAGTAATTGTTTTACAGAAATAATTTAACTAACCCGAAAAATATTTTTTCTAACATCATATTGTGAGAAACACGTGATATTAAGATTTTTTATTTTCGCTTTTAAAACTAATTTCCCTGAATATATATACATATGTCGGCCGTATGGATAGATTTACTATCAATTATTTGATATGAGACTTGATCATAAGTGATAAAATAAAAGTTTTAATCAAAGCATGGACCACATAAAGGTTATGTGTTGTCGTAAGTCTTTATCACAGGGTTTTAGGATTTTATTGAAATAAAAAAAAAAACAACATATATTTGTGGTTCTGGGTTTTACTCTGTCAATCTAGATGACAGTTGTGACGTATTAGAAGACTGCGAGTTGCAGAACTTTAGAGGAGAGCTCACGGAAAAAAGGAATTTCAATGGTACTGGGGTATACAGGTGAGAAACGTATATTAGAAAACGAAATTAAATTTGAATTTAAACTCTCAACACCTGTCAAAGACCTTTTCTTAAATATCAAAGAACATAGCTATGCATTTAGTAAACCATGACAGGTGATAAATACATTTAAAATATAAATTAAGTACAACTTCCTTGTTTAATTTTCAAGGAAGAAATATGCAGTATTTAATCCTATCTGTCCTTCATTATATGTTAACCCTTTAAGAGAATGAAAATATATATCAAAAAATTTACAAGACTATTTCCGTACCATTTCAGAATTATTAATATTTATTTGTCTGGACATAGTTAAATGCATTTGTATTTAAATTTCATTTCTAGAGCATTCCTGAATTTGATAATAAGGATAACGTAGTTACGACCCTGACCAATTTTATCTTCATCTGCAGTGTTGAGCATTATGCAGCCAATTTTCCTCAGTTTGATCACTATGGCTTTCCTCCAAATTATCCAGCTATCTTATGGAACTCGATGAAGAGAAAAATGTAGCTAAAGTATAATTCGTAACAAATGTCATTATGTTAATAATATTTAAATGGTAATTAATCTACCATTGGATTTAAATATAAGGTTCCATATTTCGTTATCTTCTATGCAATGTAAGTGTATTCCAAAGTTTATTTTTACAGGCCCCAGGAGATATGGATGCACTTATGCCGAAAGGAGCTCAATTTTTATCCACTTTGAGTCTTATGAAAATCCTTACAATGGTAATAACGAACCATCTGGGTCATTACGAGAAGGAATACACAGATGTAATGGACTCTAAGACACTCGAGTTACTACAAAGGTTGGTTTAATATCGCTCAAAGTTATCTGGCCTTTGTGTTACACTCTCATCACAACTAACATTTTTGGAACAAGTATTCATATTTAATAGAGGCACCTTAATTGAAGTCTTTGAAGAATATATTGCTCAGGTTTTGTAATTAAATAATAAATAAAATTCATATATTTCCAAAATTTTTGTTTTAGATTTCAGAAGGAGCTTAAAGATGTAGAAAAAAGTATTCTAGTAGAAATGAGAAAATCGAAGAATAGAATTTACAGAACCCGACATGCATTCCCGAATTTTCTTATAGATATCTACTTCCCCAAAACATATTGAATTCTATCAGCATATAATCAAATATATCGAACACGTTTTAAAGCAATTGTTTTGTACAGAAGTCAACGAATTTGACATTCTTACTTAAAATTATATAATGTAATCTGTAAGCAATGAAAGATTCAAATAAACACATAATGGTTTGTATAACAGTGTTTCATACCATTTGTTGAAAATATGTCAGGTACATTTTTGAAAGTGAGATATTCATCCTTGCCTGTTCCTTTCAAATTTAAAAAAAATATTATCGTAGATATCGTAGCATTTGAGCTTCGATCACGGCCAATATTATCAGTTACTTCCCGTAAAAAAAAAAGTCGCGTGGTCCTATTTTAGCAAATATGTCCTATTTTAAAAAATCACGAGACCGATGATTTCTATATTAATTGTTAAGATAATTATGTCTGTCTTTCAAAAACTATTTTTAACATCGCGGTGAGGAGGTAACAACCCACGTAACGAGAAATGCTGGTAAAAAAAAGAAGAAACCCTCAATACCTTGTCCAGGTGAAGTTGTTACTGATCAGACAGTTTGCTTTCATCCTCGCTGTTCATTATACGCAAACAACGTCGTGTTAGCAATTTTTTCTTCTATGTTTTCATTGTAATTTTTTCGCCATATCTAAAAAAAATTCTTCCACGAGTGAAAACAAGATTTCAGTCGCCTATGTACTAATCATATTGTACTTTGAATAGAAATCTACTAATTTAAAAATGTTAATTTACACAAGCATGATTTATTTTACTGAATCATAATGAGATAAAAAAAAATGCATGTGTTTGTACTACAGATAATCGTAATCAAGTTAATATTTTTTTCATCGATACGGCTTCTTTATCGCCCTGTTATATATGCAGTAACCATCAAAAGACCTAAAGTTAATTTGATGGTTGCCACGAGCGTCAAAGAAGGTGTACTAGTTATACACAAGGACTAGTAGCTAAATGTCAATCAATTTCAAGTACCCAATGATGGACATTATTTCTCTTGATTGATGGGGGTATACAGACCAGACCAAATTTGAGGGCGTGTTTATCATATCGGACTTTAAGCGGAAGCTATTTGATCAGTGAAATTCCCGGAAGTTAAATGTTGGGGTATATCCAACATTATAAAGTAAAGTTGAAATGTGACGTTGCTTTAGACATTTAACGTTAACGTTAGGCGATGGCACAAAAAACTTAAAATCCCATATTTTGTTTATTTGAGCAGATATCAATTTGAAATTTGCTATGTATAATGATGAAAAATGTACTAAAGAGTAGTGAAAATTTTAGAAATCAATGTTGATTATTTTTCACTCTAGACAACTCATCCACGATTTCACCCGACAATCCTCGTATACGTGGGCTAGTTTATACTAATGTATATAATTCATGGATGGGTGCAAAATTCATTTTTAGAATTGCCTTGGTGTAGCAAATATTTACCAGGTTTTGGCTGAATTGTAACATTTGAAAATAAAGATATATAATTCCAAATGTTTATTCTTTTTTTACATGGACAAGAATGGAAGTTTCGTCTTGTAAAGGTAAGTTGTGATTTCCTCTGAAAGGGGGGAATAGATTGAAACAGTGATAATTCTGTGCGAGAAAATTGTGTATGAAATATATAAGGATGGAGAATGATTATGAGAGTTAGGAAACGGGGAGGAGGAAGGAAAGCCGTATAGGTTATGCTTAGTTACAAAAAATTGGTTGACATTAAAATATTGTTAGTTGTTTGTAGAGCTACATTTAGATTCATTGATAAGTTATTATTTGAATTTGCTGATGTAATTGCCAATTTAATTTCAATAGGTTTTTTTTTTGGCATGTTTATGCTTCCTGGAATGCCCTTTGAAATTATTTATTTGACATCATACTTATGGTACATATAAAATATCTGGAATGATGCTCTAACTTAAGTCCCCAACAATGTACTTACAAATGTGAAGAACACAATCATCTTTGGTTGAAAATCGTGTGCTTTTGTTTTTTAAATTTTATTTTGAAATCGATTGAGAGTCCTGTTATGCACGATTTGTATTTGTTTTAGAAATTCTAATCAGTTATTTTTAGTATGATGACATAGCTTGTGAGATTAGAAGTGTGTAGTGTTCTCCTCGTCTGTAGAAGGTGGAAGTTCTATGCTGCATACGGGAACGATTTCGTGCTCTGGGGCAACTGCAAAATACAAGTATTAATGTTTTGAGCATTAATTTATTAAATTAAAAGCGCACTTGAACAAACTTTTTAAAAAAAAATGTCATGCGTTACTCTGTTAGTTTGTCGTCTATCTTTCTGTCCTGTCCCGTGTCCTGTAATTCTAATTCTAACTTCTCAAATTTTCATTACTTTTAAATGGTCTTCAACATATTTTATTTCTCTCAGGGATGGACTTTGCATATCTAAATAAAGCAAATAAATTAACAACGTTTGTGTAAAGTCAACATTTTGCAAATTCTAAGGTCGATACAATGGCCCTGTTAAACAAATATATACAATCTATCGTTAAGTCGAATGTTGACTTATGCTTTTCATACAAATTGTTAGACCATCATTTTCTCACTGAATTGTCTGCATATTTTTCCGTTTGCGCGATCATGACAAGTAACACCCTCGGGTGAGACCAGTCGACAGAGGATGCTTACTCTTCCATGGCACCCGATCCCACCTCTGATGTTTTTAGAGGTCCATGTTGGCTCTGCTCGCAATTGTTTGTTGTTCCAATGAACTTTTGAGATTGATTACTGTTCGTTATCTTTATATTTCATTCATGTACTAATCATTTATAATGACAGAGATTGAATAAAAACCCAAACTTGACAACAGCAAAATGTTTACGAAAAAAGCAACAAGTGACATATCTTTGACAATTGTAAAAAAAATATATTATCCCCACACTACCACTTCGGGGGATGGGGGTTGAAAAATCCTGCTAACTGTAGAATCGCTTGCTTTCCGACAACAACCTTGTTGAATATCACAGAGTTCCCATAACTACATGTAGCATGAGGACACATACATAATTTTACACAATTGAAAGAAAATTGTATTTCCTCCAAAATTATGAAAAAATATCTTTATCAAAATTATAAACAGAGAAAATTAATTTTAATTACCACTAGGGAATATAAATTATTAATACCATTGTTCCTTCAGACCTCTCTTTTATATCAAGTAGGGCCGCTAGATTCTGAAATGTGTTTCAATTTAAAATGCGTTAATTTTATATGCTAAAATTTCATTACTCATGAATTCTACATCTCTATCATTCGATATTTTCCCTGTCCATTATTATAACATGGAAATGTGTTAAAACCTTTTCTAATAGATTTAGCAGAAACCTGTGAATAAAAGAAGTGTGTTTAGAATAGCAAGCTCATTTTTTAAAGCCAAAAAAAAAAAACTATGTAAGGAATCAAAGCATATTTTAAGATGAATGATAATGCTTGTAGAAGAAGAAAATAAGTTCGCTGTCGAATAGATAAGAATCTTAATTATATAATTTGCATCGAACAATATCCGTCTATCATCTGTACTAAAATGAAATAAAGGTTTGTCTCACTTTAAAATTATTTTTTAGAGATTAAAAGGGTAATCATACTCTTCCATATTTTCTTGCTTTAAAGTTCATCTCCCTTCTGGAAGAAAGGAACATGATTTGAACAAACATGGTTGTAAACTTGATATGGAACCTTCATTTTTTTCTGGCCCAGTTTTTTTTTTACCTTCAGTTGATAAAAAAATTGAATACCCTCTACAAGTTATGCTATATACAAAATTATTTGTTTAATCCACATTTATCTGGAGAAACAGTAGAAAATGACAGCAGACGGACAGACGGTTGAACAGATGGAGGACAGAAAGCATTTCTATTAGAATACCTTTACTTGTTTCTGTATACAAAAAATGATGTTTTGACACTTTCCCTCATAATTCCAATTTTATCTTTGAAATCAATGAGATATATTAATGTACTTACCTAATGTACTTTGACTGGCATGATCAACATCTAAAATTGAAATAGAACTAAACGTGTATGTCTCTGTTGTAGCGGGGCTGCTCTGAAATAGTTTACATGGTAATAAACAGATATTATACCACACACAATACGGAAATTGTTCAGAATATTTTTAGTTAGAAAGATAATTTTCAACTCTGAAGTAAATGTAATCAGATGCAAGTCTGAAACAAATTAGATTTTTTAAAGAAAAAAGTTTAAAATCTTAAAATTGCGTTGACTCTTTTAAGGGGATGAAGGACACATGGTCACATGACTTTGTGAAACTACGTCATAGTCTCCATTTATATAAGTGCAAAACGTGTAAAGCATCAGTTCTTGTATAAATTTTTGACAATTTTTTTTCTTTAATTACCATATTTATATTAAAAAAATAAAAAGTTTAACATTCTTGTAAACATTAACAAATTATGAAAAAAGATTGATCCACTCCTCTGTTTCTTTAAACTGCGCGTCCAAGAAGTCGGTGACGTCATACACGATCTGCTAGTACAGCAAGATCATACTCGGTGAATACAAGGGCAGCATTATTATGTAAAAACAGGTCATAATCAGTATATGATGAAGTATTTTGAGAAACGGGGAACACAAAAATTATTTTTGCATGGCTGATGACGGAAATCTTATGTAGGTATATCTTATTTCGTGTGACGTCATAGTTGGTTTTTCCCGCACTCGAGAAATGTAAACATGACAAGTTTTTGTCCTGCTTATGTCGTCTTTAACGATGTCCTGTGCAATATTGAGGTCAGCTTCACCATTCGAAATTTTTACAGTTAATCAGTAATTTGAAGGACTTGCATTTCAACGTAAATTTAAAAATATTGAATGATAGGATTTTTTGTAAATTACGTTTTTTGTTGTTTAAGTTGCCTTAAAAAGTTCGTAATTTTCCCTATTCAGACGAAGTGTGATAGATGAAACTTGCCTTTTCGAATTTTAAACCCAATTCATACTCTGAAATATTTTAAAAGATACATGTTCACTTACATATTTTTTATATATGCTTTAAAATTCCAATTATGGACAGAGTAATGAGCCCGGAATCATGGAGAATTAAAACTCTACTTAGATACTGTAGGTCGTAATATTTGTCAATCAATATCTCTAAAATAAGGTAAGAAACCTAATGATATAACTGCTTTAAGATATGTGGGACATACTTAATAAGAAATATACAAAATATAAAAAAAATTGAATGACAAGTATTTTTTCACCTAAAGGTCCTTCTTCCCCTTAAGATAGACTTGTTGATATAAGTTTTTCTGAAATTTGAAATCTCTTTCTTTTGTCATCTTTTGTTTTTTTCTTTTGACATCTTTAAACAAAACTGGAGTCTCACCACTCTTGGAATAAGGCACATTATAATCGCACCTACAATAGGTGGAACACCGGCTACCACAAACGCTATTTCATAGGTGTGAAGATGATCGTACAGCAAACCTGCAGATGAAATAGCACTGTAGAAATGATGAATGTTCAAATTAGCAATTCCGAAACGGACTGCAATCTAAAATATGAAATTTGACTTCTGTAACCCAATGTCAGTAGTATGGTTCATAATCCCTCTTTCCACTATGTAAAATTTTGCTTCAACGCTTATGATTTTCCAAACGAAACATATAAATAAAATGCAAAAGGAATAATATACATTTATGTTATTAAGAGTTATCTATCTTACCAGAGTATAAATGAACCTTTAATAGTCTTTGTTATATATCCCTTCTCAAACTATCCCTTTTGTGCAAAGGGGGAGTTTCGATAAGGCCGTTTTTCGGCCCCTCACGAAATTTCATGAAATTTTGATATTTTGTAGAAAAATTTCTTATCTTCCAAACAATATGAAAATAATTTATGTTGCGCATTTTCCGGTCACGTGATAATTGAGAATTTAAGTATACCCCCTTTCGTATATTTTTGGAGTAAACATTTTTATAGGGGGCAAGTGGATTTTTTTAACCGTCAAAATCGTAAATGAAATAGGATAAATATGAATAAAGACATAAATTAACCAATTTCAAAATTTTTTTTAACGGAAAATGGTATTGATTTTATGCGAATGTTTTTTTAAGGTGCGATATTTTTCTGGTGTGTTAAATGTTACTTTTCTTTAAAAGAGAATGAATTTAACTTATAAAACGTAAACATATACAGAAAGTTTTAACATCATAATTAATCTACAGTTCATACATAAACTTTATAATCAATATTTAACATTTTCACATACGAAAAATGCAAATGAAAAAGATATGTAGACAGGAGATAGGTAAACGTAAAAACGTCATACACATGCAGATATATGCAATACATCTTCATCAATGAGGTTATACAACTACATATGTACATGTTTTATAAAAATATACCTTAATATCATCAAATTGAAATTAAAAAAAATGATTTGAAATAAAAAGAAAAAATCGGAACGATTAAAAAATAAATGCACCTTTACATATATACATAAATAAAAGGTTTATTTAAAACCATCATATTGCTACGTAAGCTGGTACATGTACATTGTAGGTGTAAGGTAAGAAAAATAAAAAAATATTTTATCTGCATGGCGTCCGCCACATAATTATTCGGCTAGAAAAATATATCTGGCGGCTGCAAAATACTTTTCCTGCGGCCACCACATAAATAACTGGCGGCGGCCAGAAACTTATCTGGCGGTCGCCACATAAATAACTAGAAGCCACCAAATAATTCTTGCGGTGTATACATGTAATCTAATAAAGCATAAATTTTAAGTTATGAAGTGAAGACTTTATGAATTGAATTTTTGTATAAAGTGTAGATTTGATATTTGCTAATAAGGCATGAATCTCCCAGATTTGACTACAAACAGAAGTTGTAGATGTCATTAAAGCAAAAACACTACAGTTTTATCTGGCGGCCGCCAGATATTTCAATGGCAGGCGCTAGAAACTTGACTTTTCTTTTACCTAGCACCTACCGGCTTCAGTAAATTGCAATGTATTTGATAATATGGATAATATTAATTACAGTTAAAAATATTTTATCATGATAAGTAATTATGTGAATAGCCAAATGATGGAAAAATCTATAATACATTGAGTGTTTCCTTTTCATTATGAAACTTAGAAGTATATTTGTTCACATAGATCTGCATTATTTTTTCAGCATAACTGAGAGAATCCCAGCCAGGACTAATATCCTCTCACTTCCCAACTCTCCATAGATACTTAAGTTGCTTCACCAGCTCTAGTCATTTCTCATTTAGAGAGTTTTAGAATTCATTATGTATGATTTGCTAGACCAGAGCGCAGTTCGAAATACATGTGTAAACGCCAAAGATATGTGTTTAATCCTTAATCATATGCAGACATATGTACCTAGACATCCAGACTTAATTAAAACAATCCATGTTCTCTATATCAACCACACGGAAATATAAGGGGGCTTCTCTAGCATGTTGGAGCGTGGATTTCTATTTACAAGAGAGTCAAAAATATAACTATGCATGATAAATAACTTTAAGGAATGGACTTGCTCTAAACCTTATTTTTTGTACAGTCAGTTGGAAAATGTAAGAAAGATCCAGCATCTGAACGATGATCCTAGATGCATCATCAGTGCAAGTTTGTTCATGATAGGGCTTATAGTTACATAAGAATGAGACCCGCTTCAAAATTTTTAACCTGCTCACTCATTAAGGAAATGTAGGTCAGATCCAGCATCTGAAGCAAGTCTGGTAGTGTGCATCCGTAGATGCATCATGAAGCAAATCTGGTCAACAAGTGCTTACAGCTGCTCTTCTCTAAAAACTTAAATCTGCTTTTAAAACATTTACCTGGACATTCTTTGGCTAAAAATGCAGCATCTGAAACCTGACTGGTGACAAGGAAACACGCTAGATCATGTGACTCTGATTAATGAAGGGCATATATATACTTGAAAAAAAAATCTGCTTCAAAAACTTTTACCAGGAACACCGATGCCGACAGTATTACAAAAGCTCCCCAAACCTTCGTGGAGGTGAGCTAAAGATGTGACGTTAACGTTATACGTTGGCGACATAAAAATATCGAAAGGAAGATAGGATATGATAATATATTCTACTGTAAATATAATCGAGAATCTTCTTTGATTTAAAAAAAAAAGCTACTTTTGGCTTAGTATTTTAACACAGAGTCAGATGAAGAAACCAGGGTTTCTAATTTTAGATATGCAAATTTTATGCAATTTTCAATTTTTGGATATGAAGTGCACACGCGACACTCATCATATTTCAAGAAATTAGTGTGCAGAGTATATCTAATTACTGAACAAATTTAGGTGAGTGTCCCTAATGCACTTCATATTCTAAACATCGATTTATAAATGCCACCCTCTTATATTTTCCCATAAGCCTAATGTTAACGGATCTGAGGGTACATCTTAGTATGTATCAGCTACGGCGTGATTTCATCTCATATTAACTTTTGAAATATAAATAACAAAAGTTAACATATTTATCTTGAATTCTAAACTAGTTTTGAAAAAATAAAAGGAAATTTATTTTTATGAAAAAAAGTGGGCCGCTGAGCGGCCTTATCGAAACTCCCCCTTATAAATCTTAACATTATTAACGTTCAGAAAGAATCTGTAATATTACTGAGCAACGTTTTAACGCTTAAAACGTCGTATGGCCCATCAATACGTAAATATTTCAGTGTGTAATACAGCATCTGACACACAAAAGTTCTACATGTATATGCGTGTTGTTTTGAAACAGACACAAAACTTTCTCACCAGCAATTGGAGGCCCAACAGCGAATGGAATAGAAAATCCACCAAGCAAAAACCCAATTGCTTGCGATGCGTCTATGGGACCAACAATATCAAACGCAATAGGACCTACCAAACACACAATGATGCCATCACATATACCAAGAATGAGACAAATAACTATTAGTCCTTCAAATTTCTCCGAAAACGGAATACAAGCTGTTATTACTCCTGTCAATACAAAAGCGCATTGCTGCATGTAGATTCGGTTCACACATTTCAAGTCCGCTATTTTTCCGAATACGATTCTTCCCAAACCGGATGTAACTTGTAGACAAGTGATCAGAATAAATGCATTACTACCAGGAAAGGTGTCTTGTGTATGTTTGACCTAAAAAAAAAAAAGATCAGGACAGCAAATGACCAGAGTTTTCAAATTTGTAATGTTTTGTAAAATAATAAAATACATGTATATCCCGGCATATATAGAAAATATCAATCTAAAGAACACGTACTCTCTATTCTCTACATGATAAGAAACGATTTTTTTACCATGATGATTATTTGCTGTGTGTAAACATAAGCTTAAATAACAGAAATGTATTTTTTTTTAAAGAATTTGTAGCCTTCCTCTTACCAAACCTTTTCTGTGCCTCTTGAGTTTTTAATCGACATTTTTATAAAGAACAAGTTTCACATAGTGCCTTATTCGGCGTTGTGAAAACCCAAAACTGTCCAATTTTAGTTAATAGTATTTTAAATTTTATTCGAACACTTGGTGATCTATTAAAAATGACATAATTTTGTGAAAGTCAATTTCAGTTTCTTGAAAATTATATAAAAATTCTTTTTTTTAAATGTACTCAAATACTCGAGTATTCTTTTAACATGATGAACATTGTCCTTCCACAGTTTTCCCCAATCAATACAATTTCTGGTAATAAATGCATAACGTCTCTTCTTCGTGCATATATTTAAAATAGGACTTAGGGTGATAAAAAAGCTATTTTCTCTATAGGTTTGGCTATTTTATTTATAAAATGAACCTAGATCTTTAAAAACCTTTGAATTGACAGTAAGATGTGCAGTGAAAAGTGTTTGTTTTAATGAAAAAAGTTCGACAGACAGGAGAAAACAAATCCCATAAACTCTCTAGACGCCATCGATTTGATGAAGAGAAATTAAATACCTATAAAAATATATATCGATTTTTTTTTTTAATTTTTTTATTTTTATTTTTTTTTTTTTTTTGGTAACAGGGGGTACAATTACATTTTAAAATAAATCCGATAGAACTATTTCAAGATAAAAATAGTGATGTAGATTGTGTAGTTATTTAGTCTTAAGTTCTATTATAAAAGCTTGAACGACATAACAACTAGCCTGCTTTAAGGACCGCAAAAAGACAGAACATGGGTTTGGCAATCGGTTAGACATATCTTTATTTTAGATTCTTTTTTGCTTTAATATAACAGGTGTCTACAAAAACAAGACCCGATTAACATAGATATAATATGAAATATATGTGCTTACTAAATGTACGAATGGCACAAAGTAACCGAAGAAAGCAACGATAAATCCTAAAAACCAAACAAGATATGTACGATTTCCGAAAACTTTCCAGTTCAGGTAGTATTTAGCCGAACAGCTGCATTTGTTGACAACGTCCGTTTCTTTCGACAAATCTAATTTGGGGTTGTCCGTTTTTCTCTGGAAGAATGGCTTCCATGTCAAAGTACACAATAGAAGCATGCAATATAATCCACCTAGGATAATAAATGTATACTTGATGCTCAGAGATTCTAACACAATTGGAAGAACAATTGATAAGGATACAGTGTAAATCGAACTTCCTAATGAAACGACTCCATTCACAATGCCCATATGTTTTTTGAAGTAGTGTCCAAGAATAACCAGAGAGGTAAAATATGCAAATCCTCCACCGACTCCAAGTACGAGGCCAAATGTTAGATACAGAAGTTCTAGTTGTTGAATGAAAGCACTAGAAAAGAGACCAACAACGCCTAAAGCTGCTCCAAAAAATGCCGTCAGTCTAATACCAAAGCGCTCACTGCACATGCTTGCAAAAATGCTCATCAAAAATGTTACGCTTGTACATGTAGAACCAATCCATGCTGAAAAGTAAATCAACATTTATATGAGATATTAAATAAGCAACAGTCATAAAGATAGAATAAGAGCAAATGGAGAAAAACACAGATATTGACATATTGTCGATTTCTTATTTACATTTAAAACCTTTCCAACAGAGATTCCAGTTTCCTTTTGTCATAAATTCTAAAATGTAAAATATGTAAGCATTTCAAGACATACATGATATAGTCCTCATTATATATTCTATCTTTGTTAGAAACACACTGTAGCAGTATATTAATCATTCATTTGATTGCATACACGAACGTATAATTTCTTTATTTTAGCATAGTTTACCAAAATGTGTCTGCGAATAACAAATATTGTAATTGTTAATGCATTGCATGAAAATAGCAACAAAATAAACTGACAGAACCTCAGAAGTTGTAGTCAAAAAAGTGTTATCTGAGTTGCAAATATAATCTAGATCCTTAATTGGAATAGACTACAAGCACATGCGTTTGCCGATAATTTCTACATTATCATGCTTTTATCAAATTGAATTTGAACATTTTCATATGTATTTCTCAAAATATTACAACCAGTTTACATATAACAAATAATTATATATTTTTGGACACTTTCCTATGATATTAATATAAAATTATTAGATAGTCAACACCATTTAAAGGGGCCTGGTCACAGTTGCAAGGTTTCCTTTTTTAAATGTCTATTCAAAAATAAAACTAGTTCAAATGAATTGAATTTACACTGAACAAGGCACGAGCTCTATTATTGTTAATGTTTACGATTCACTGGGTTTGTTAAACTCTGCACACATCACTGATCATGAACATAAATTGCAAGTAAGGGTGAGTTGTTTTTGCTTTCTCGCATTTCTACTCTTAGTTTTCTAGATTATACTTTTAATATTTTCATTAATAGACAACAAAATCATGAAAGTGTTAGTGTACGTGTCAATCAAACGAGTCCCGAAATTCGTAGTTTTAATAATTTCCAGATAGAAGAAGCTTCTTAACACGCTTCTATATCAACATATAAGCAATAATATTATGCAGAAAATTTGAGAAAATATTAACTTCAAATCTGTGTCCCAGTCCCTTTAAGGACAGATGATACAACCAAACTCTAATCAAAAATCTTGAAAATAACTTGACATGTTTATATAAATAAAATCAACAAGTTTAATAGCATAGTTTATTTATTTATTTTTAATTTTGTAATTCAAAGTTTCACAAAAATTGGATTTGAAGTGAAAAAATGTAAACATTAAAAAGGTTGGGTGCAGAAAGGTAGAATTTTAAACATCATAGACAGCCTAAAATTTCTTAATATTTTAGAAATTTATTATTTGCAGCATTTACAACCAAAATAGGTCCAAAAATATATACTCATCCCGACATCCATTTTTTTGTATCATCTATCCTTAAGTAAAATTTAGTACCTACAAGTTTTAAATGAAATAGAGGGATCGTCCAGCGCATATTCCTTGAGTAGGTATACATAGAGTATTCCAAAAGTGTTCAGAATGCTAAAATTTGTTCCATTTGCCATAAGCGACGTGAAACATACAACCCAGCCCCAGCCCCCTTCCGGCGGGACAAACTCCTCCTCACGGCGTTCTGTATTAGGAGTCTGAACTTCTTCTGCGTTTGCACTGTCTTTGGTCATCTTTAAGTGTTTTTTCTACAAGTAATTAAGGTTTTGAAATTCTTGATAAAATATCAACATATTTGTAGATGGATGTATTTTCACTAAAATTTCAATTTCATTCAGATGATAAATATCTGTAAAATGTTACATATAAATTTAATTTCAAGTCAAAATTTCATTCAGATGATAAATATCTGTAAAATGTTACATATAAATTTAATTTCAAGTCAAAATGTATAAACTTATTGTGAAAAATTAACAAGAATAATCATTCTTCCGTGGCAAGGAAAACTGCGTCCACAAATTTACAAAGGATACTTTTTAACCCTATGATTATACATTAAAAGCGAATATATTCTGCAAATGAAGTGTTCTATACAACATTTGCATGTTATTTTCACATTCATATTACTAGCTGTCTAGAGAAAAATGTACAAGATACGACAAAATATTGGGCATTAATACACACATTGTTTTCTATGATATATGGTTCTACATCGTTATACAATTAACATAATTTTTGTGATCAGTTTTAAATTCATTATGAATCATGCAGAATTCAGGATATGATCACTCCAAAATGAGTAGGAATTGCATGATAAATGTGACCGAAAAAAAACGCTAATGAGATAAAATAAAATTGATTACGCAAGGATTACGCAAGTATTTATTATACCAATATCTGCAAAAAGGTCGCTTAATACACTTTTTTTAAGGAATCAGGATACGAATTTTCTTTATATATTAAAGAATCGCATTAGAAAAGTGAAAGAACAAAATACAACTTCTTTCCTGTCGTGTTCAGTGGAACGGAAGTGACAAAGGAATATGAAAGATTACAAGAAAATATATTTTTTTTATTTCAGCTGACAAAGCTTGAAACAACTATAGTCTGTGTTTGTAAAGCTCATGATTACAGCTGCATTTTAGAAGAACTCGGTTTTAATTCCTTATCTGATCATCCAACCAATATTTTCAGTTCTCTTTCTATAGATGAAATTGTTCAAAATTACTTTTCAGTTTTAAATACTATGAAAGTGAGATTGATTTAACGTACCTATACTGGATTCTAAAACTTCATTAAAATCTTTAGAAAGATAAATTACACTAGATGTTCAGCCAAGTATGATCCTAAGTCGTCAACCAAAATATTAATTGCTGTGAAGGAGAAACTTCAGACATATTCAAGATTATTCAAGAAGTAGTGTAAATCAAATGTGGATTCTAAAAAAACTCTTAAGAACGTTTGGAAAATTTAAAATCTCAAAATTTTTGAAACATTAACAGCATGAAAACGTTTTCTACACTTTATGCGACCATTCCTCCTCACGACAAATTCAAGAACAGGCTATTTGACATCATAGACAATGCTTCCTCAATGAAAATGAAACTCTTAAATTTCCATATCTTGCGATTGGTCATCTACAAATTGACTTTGTTAAGAATCATTCTAAAATACATACAGTATTCTGAAGTTGATATTAAAAATTAAAGATGCTGGAGTTTCTCATTAACAATATCTATGTAGTCTTTGGAGACCAAGTCTTCCAACAATCCATTGGAATTTCGATGGGCACTAATGGTGCTTCTTTATTCAAAATCTTTTATATGAGAAGAAAAAGACTGTTTGGTCTTCAACTCGACGGTTAGATATATTGACGACGTGTTATCAATTAATAATAGTTACAGACCCTGAAACGTGCTACTACCCCACACGCACGCTGCACGAACGGTACACGCTCGCTACACGGTTTGCACGAAACGCTGCACGGTTTACACGAAACGCTACACGGTTTGCACGAAACGCTACACGGTTTACACGAAACGCTTTGCACGAAAGGCTGCACGGTTTACACGAAAGCCTGCACGAAACGCTTTGTACACGTTTCTCACACGCTTTGTACACGATTCTCGCACGTTTTGGCCTCGATCTGGATTTTCTATTCGGAATCTCTCGGACTTTATCTAAATTAAGTAGATTACGGATTAATCAAAGATTAGTTTAGAATTGCAATCATTCAGATTAAGTTAGGATTAGAACTCGCTACACCAGTACTATATTAACAGATAAAAATACACAATGTTAAGTTGTATTTAATTAATATTATAGTTGTCATTGAGTATGTGACGCGCCCGGTGAAATGCCTATCATCGTCTATGTATAAAACTTTTTCACTAGACTCTAATTTACGCACTGAAAAAAAAATTATATTTGTAATTCATAATCTTTACAGCATTCAATGTTTTTACAATTATAGTTTGATATTAACAAATCGTTTTTTTACTGACAAATAAACCCAGTTATTGATTTGAAGAAAAACAAATTAAATTGTGTATGATTTCTGTAACCGAATTGATTTTCTTTCCTTTTCTTTTTTTTTTATTATTGATTAATTTATTCATTTTTTGATTTAGTAAATAAATAATTTAATTTGATTGAATTAGGTTCTGTTTATAATTTGCAAGAAAATATGTACACTAAATCAAATAAGAACATTGTGCAGGATTGGGGGGGGGGGGGGGTTAGATTACCGAGATCTTACTTCTGTTCATGGCTAAATATAACTGGCACTTGTTTCAGTAAGTATACTATTGGGAAAAAAATATTACAGAAACAGATGCCTGTTCTAAGAAAAAAAAAGGATTTCCATATCTCCAGCGGGACCAAATACATGTAATTCATTAACTGCACTTTAATTAGAATGGTAAATACATCGCTACGTTACAGAATCAAACTTTGACTTATCATTAAAATTTAATATGGTAGAGAAGCCGGGGAATAGGTATTGTAATGCTTTAGTTCTCCATTTTGAGGCATTGTGTTTATCAAATAAAAACAATATACACACCACCTTGTAAAATCCTTGATTTCAAATCCCGTCCAGACAAAAAAAATGTAATCAATAGTCGCGGCTCTTAACAATACATTCAATATACATGAATACATGTCCAGTGTCCTAAAAACTAAAAAATATGCTCTAGAACTGCGTGATTAATAAAACAACTAATATATAATTACTCCGGATTTTTTTCTTTATATGTTATTATTCACGAATACACTGGTAAATTAATTCACTGTTTACGGAGAATCGGATAAATTTAAGGAATAAATTCCACGGGTATTTATTTTTACCCATTAAATACTAATACAACTTTTAAATTTCACGAATTCAAAATCAATCGTTATTGTCGGGTGTCATCTTAGCCATGATTAACAAAAGATAATACATGTACATGTAGCAGAACAAGTTTTCAGTTCCCGGCACGCGGAGCGCGTGATCGCTGTTGTAAATGACCTTGATCACAGTCGTAAGAAGAGTGTCGGAAGTGTAAAGAAGATTACAATACATTTTTAAGGGGTGCATCAATCACACCCCGAAAAAACAATATTTTCTTTAAAAAGAAAATTATCTATAAAAACACGTTAATAACAAAAACTCAAAGTTTGTGTTTACATTTGAACACCGCACCCCCCTCCCCCGGAAATATTTAACCTTGTATTTGCCGATGCATGTGAATTATGATTCATTTATAAGGCAATTTTTAATCAACCAATTTTATGCATAAAAAGACTATAAATGACTCAGCGTTTAAACATTATTTGTATCACAATCTTGTAATATAAGAAAATTATACTTCGTTTATAAAGAAAAAAAAAATGTGCTCCCCGGCCTAGAATTCCCATACTTCACATTTATAACAACGCACTAAACTTAGTATTTTATATTTTACGCCTGCCTTATCTGTTTATTATTTTGCATTAATCACCCGTATGGTTTTGTAATATCTATATACCACAACTGTGAAATGGTGAAGAGATTCAAATAAATGAATGAAAAGGACAAGACCGGACTACTGATGATTTTTTTTAAAACAATGTTCAGTATTGCTCTCTTTAAAAAATGTATTGAATCAAATACCTTAAAATTGATGTGCGTATAATTAATTACTTTGAACATATTTTCTTCCCTTTTTTATTTAAGTAAAAAAAAGAAAGAAAATCAAACAAATATATAATACATTACCGAGTAATTTTATTTTGCTGTTTCCGTAGTTTTTCTCTCTTAAAATACCACCGGTATGATATATTCGAATAATATTAGTTACAAACAACACAGAATGACATGTTGGTCCATCAATAGCCATATTTAAAATAAAATGAGTTCCGAATGAATCCTACACGTTTCTCACACGATTCTTGCACGAAAGTCGCACGTTTCTCACACGCTTCTCGCACGCTCGCTACACGGATTGCACGAAACGCTTTGGAGCTTACACGAAACGCTGCACGGTTTACACGAAACGCTACACGGTTTGCACGAAACGCTGCACGGTTTACACGAAACGCTACACGGTTTGCACGAAACGAAAAGCGCACGAAAGTCACACGCTTTTTTGGGGTAGTAGCACGTTTCAGGGTCTGTAGTTCCATTCGTATCTCCACTCGATATACCCCAGTGAACTCGAAACAAAAGACACATATGTTTCAGATTTGATATTTTGCTGACTATGGATGATAATAGCCACCTAATAACTAAACTGTATACAAATGAGACGACTTCAACTTTTTCCTCGTAAACATCCCTTATTAATGCAGTACACTGAAATATTCCGCTGTCACCTGTTTATGTCTTCCAAATGATTCGATACCCAAGAACATGTGGTGAGTATCATCAATTCCTAAACCGAGGCAAGCTACTGACAAATATGTTGATGTTAAAAGGATTTCAACAATCACGTATAAAGTCAGCTTTTCGCAAATTCTACGGTCATTATAATGACTTTGTAGATACAAATTATCATTGGGTCGTATTTTTTTCTAACATGTTTTATATTATTTGTAGGGTCATTGCTTTTGTATTGAATTTGACTGCGGAGTACTCTGAATACTTGCTCAATATATAGCGCTCACGGCG